ATCCAACAATGTTATGGAATTTTGCTCGGTGTTTTCAATGTTTATGGCCGAAATCACCGTTGGGTGCACTGCGAGAGAAGACCGGGTGGGTTGCTTGCTTGATACATTAGTTAGGCATGCGGTGGCAGTTGCGGAGCGACTTTTCGTGGGCCTCATTTTTTACGTAGGACGCAATTTTTGTTGTTCTTTTCGTTCGAAGAAGAAACGTCCACAAAAAGCAAACCACCATTCATTCGGCGGCGCTCGTGGATTGTCGGCCAGGGGTGACTGACTCTTCTTCTCTTATCCTACGTGGTGGCAGTTCCTCGCATCGACAAGCGAAGAACAAAAATGAAGTACGACCGTGCCGAAAAAAACGTTCAAGCACGTCGTCCCCGCCTGAGCGACAACGATGGCGACGCCGGGCGACACGCCGAACGTAAAAAAGCGGGGGGATGACCGCAAATCAACGATGTCGTTGTTTGCCAGTTGAGGCGCATTCCATTTATCCGTTTGACTTTTGTCTCTCCCAGCCTCCCCTCCCGTCCCCTCTACCCACCCACCCCCCTGGCCTTCCGCAATAATGCCGGCTCAAAAACTCCCACGCCGTACACGTTACAGGCTCTCTAAACCTTAGCCTTGTGTGGGTCTTATTTCGCTTTTTATCGCATACGTATGTACGTTAACACACCACAGATTATCAACGTTCTCTTCGTGTTCTACGATTCCAACAAAGCGGGCTCGTTGGAAGGGCAACCCTATAGAGCACCCATCATCATCCGATATCTACTAAATATTTCCAACTGTTTCTTGCACTCTTCACATACATACCACTTCTAAACACGCCTTCGCCTGGACAAAAAAAGGAGAGGGTCCCGAGACAAGACGCGCAGCCGCACAGGCGTCGAACCGCGGAAAAAAAAACGAAAACAAGAAAGGGTGTCCGATAACAGCGTCCTCACCGACATAAAAACCTCCACGTCGCATCACCTCAAGTAAATCCACAACAAATGTATCCTACAAAAAAAAACACCACCAAGAAGCGAGCGAGCCAAGCACAACCACCCGACCCCCCACACACACCCGGACAATCAACTTTTGCACACTCCCTAGCTCGGTTTTTAGGTTACAACACAGCAAAATATGCCACCTCCCTGGGTAGCCGGAGTCAAACATTCTGTAAGTTGAGCGAAGCCGGAGGGGGCGACACAACAAGTACATGAAAGAAAAAAACGGATTTACATCACGAGCGAACATCGATAGATCTACTGAGAAAATTCTAGACAAAAACCAGCAGCAGTCGTCGCTTGTCCTAAAACTTATGGGGGACACCTCGAGACCCCCAACATCACCATTCTTGTCACACCCCGCCCGAGAATAAACATACAATGATGCCTGCGCGCGCGCAGACACAAACATGATGACCCCGCCCCACCGGTTCGGTCCCAGATCATGGCCTTCAGAAGAAGTGTGTTTAGTTTTCAACGGCACTGAGACTGGCAAATTTGCATTGATCGGTCGGTTAATTTTCTAGGCCGATGCTAGCACTCAAGACACAAATATGGCGGCCTGTTATCAAAAATCACGAAGACCGGTCGACGACGACGACGCGAAAACGCCCCCTCCCCCCCTCCCTAGTAAAACTTGGGGGTGTCCGCGTACGCCTTACGACTCCGCGGCGCCCCCACACTCGTCGCCTCCACCTCCCGCCGCTCTCGGGCGGCCAAGCTCCTCCGAATCTCGGACAGGGTCTGCCCGCCATACCCCGCGTTGGACCCGCTGCAGCTGCCCGAGTAGGACCTGCCGGACCGCACGCTGCCGTTGGACCTCACGCTGCCGCCGCCGCCGCCGCCGCCCGACCCGGCTCTCGAGAGGAGCACCCCCCTCGCCGAGAGCCCCTGCTGCTGCTGCGTCAACACCGCCCCGGGGACGTTCGACGGGCACCGCGCCGCCGACGCCGCCGTTCCCAGCTTCCCCGACGCCAGGTAAGAGGACGCCGACACCGACGACGACGAGGAGGAGATGGACGTGCGCAGCGGCGACCTCCGTCCGGTTAGCGCCGCCCGCGACAGAGAGGAGGAGGAGGATCCCGGTCTCGTAAGCGCTGCCGCCCGGAGGTGGTCGGACTTCCGGGAGGCGGAGGACGGGCGGGCTACCGCTGGGCTCGGGGATCGACCGCTGCCGCTGAGTTGTCGAGAGAGGGAGGCCGTCGAGGAGCCCGCCCTCGCTCCGTACGAGTAGCTGCTGTCGCCGTAGCTGTAGTAGCCTGCTGACTCCCCTCGGTTCCGCCGCTCTCGTTCTTCGTTCCCGGCCCCGGTGAAACCATCGCCAACGTCCCTCCCCACGCCGCCGCCGCCGCCGCTGCCGCTGCTGCTTCGAGCGAGGGAGCAGCGACCGCTGTCGCGGGACAGCGACGACGACGACGACGAAATCCCCCTCGACGACCGGGCTTCCCCTTCGCCCGTGCCAGCCCGCCGCGCACGAGCCGCGGTGGTCGACGCCGGCGACCGGGGGTACAAGCTGTAGTCGGACAGCTCGCGCGGAGGAGGGGGGTTCGACGACTCCCTTCGTCCTGCGGACTGCGTGCCCCCCCCCGCCGCCGACGCCCGCCGTCGACGCGTCGGCGACGTCGCCGCCGCCACCGCGAGTTGGTACGCGTCGCTGCTGCTGCCGCCGCCGTGCCCCCCGCCCAGGTCGAAGTCGTGGTTCGCCCCCGCCGCCACGGCCGCCACGTGCGGCAACCTCCCGCTGCTGTAGTAGCGCCGCTCCCCCGAGGCGATGCTGCTGGCCAGCGACATGGTGTCGATCCCGTCCTGGACGGAGCGGCTACCGCGTTCCGTCAACGGATAGCGGTCGACCGGCGCCCCGGAGGGGTCCTCCCCGCGCGGACGGCGCGTGCGGGAGTGATACCTTGCCTTGGGGGGCGCCGTTTCCGGCCTTGTCTCCCCCTCGCCCCCTGCTCGAGCCCCCGTCGCCCCGCCTCCTCCTCCTCCGCCGTGGCTTGAAGACCCGCCGCCGGCCGCGAGCCGCCGCCCATCCTCATCGGCCCGGCTCTCACCCTGAGGTCTTCGCTCTGCCGCCGCGATCGCCAACGACGACGTCGCGAGCCAAGGGTTACTACTCCTACCGCCGGTAGCAGCCTCGCCATCGCCGCCGGGGCTGCTCCCCCTGGGGTGCGGCTGCCCGCGCCGCGACCCCGCACCCCCCGACCTTGCCGAGCGCCACCTCTCCGTGGCGTGGTACGCCTCCGTCGCGGCGGCGAAGGCGCGCACGGAGGCCGCGACTCCCGGCGGCTCCTCCCCGGGCATCTCCTCCCCCTCCTCCTGCCCAACAGCCGCCGCTGCATCATCGGCTCCGGCTACAGCCGCGGCTCTTCGTGCTGGTGGCGGCGGTGGTCCGGCCGTACCCGTGCTGCTTCTCCCCCTGCTTCGTCGCCTCGAGCCTGGTGCTGCTGCGGTGTTCGCCACCCTCCAGTCTTCCTCAACGGCAGCGGTGGCGGCGGCGGCGGCGGCGGTCGACCGGGCATCCCCGAAGTGCTGGCCAGGGTTCGGCCCTTCCGGGGTGACGGCCGGAGAACACACCGGCTTCCGCTTCCCGTTGGTCGTGGCCGCAACCTCCGCCTCTCCGTTGCCGTTGGGCGGCGGGCTGTTGAGGACCATGCCGTCCTCCTCTTCCCCCGGAACGTGTACGGAAGGAGGCCTCCCGGAAGCAGACGCCCCGCTGTCGCCGCCACCGCCGTGCCCGGAGAAGCCGTCCAGCCTCAGGTCTAGCGGGCTGGCGCCGGCGTACGTCCCGGGCCGCGCGCCATCGCCCGCGCTGCCCGACCCACCGGTACGGCTTCCGACGCCATCCCCGCTCCGCGGCAAGGCGGGGGGGTCGCCGGCCGCCGTGCTGCTGATGCTGCTCTCGCTGCTGCTGGCGGTCCGCCCACCGTCCGACAACGACGAGGAGGCAGCGGTCGCAGTAGCGGTAGCGACGGCGGGGGCGGCGGCGGCCGTGTCGCTCGCGGCCGACCCCACGGAATACCTCCCTCGGCCGGTTGCCCACGCCCCGACCGCGGACAGCATGTCGAGGGGGGCGGAGAGAAGCCGGCTGCCGATGGGCGGGGACGCTACCGGGGGGGAATCCTCACCCACACCACCTCCGATACCACCATCAACACCGCCGCCGTTTCCCTCTGCGCGAGCGCTGCTTTCCGGTCTCGCGAGTCGTGCCCGAAGGCCATCTGTGTCGTCTTCGCCGCCTGACCTTCCCGCTTCTCCCGCCGGCACGCCGACACCGTCGCCGCCGCCGCCACCGCCGTCGTCATAACCGGCTGCGCTCAACGACGCCGCAGCACCGTCGGCGCGCGGAGCTGCTCCTGCCGACCCCGCTTCGCCGCCCCCGGCGCCACCCCCCCTTAACGCCACGGCGGCGGCGCCGCCTCCGCCGCCGCCGGCTATGGCCGTAGGCCCACCACCACCAGCGACGGCACCCTTCTTCCTCCCCCCGTTACCGTCGTCCACGAACAAGCCCGCGGTGGGGCCGTCCGACAGGTCCGCGGTGCTCGACCCTGACCAGCTGCTCAGCCCGTCTCCGTTCTTCGTGGCGGTAGTGGCGGGCGGCGGCGGCGGCGGCGGCAACTTTGCCTCGGACGGGGGCGACAGGACCGGGGGCCCCGGCGGCGACGGTGTGGGGCCCTGGTTGTCCCCGTCTCCGTCGGCTGTTGCCGGCGGGGTCGGGGTCGGGGTCGGGGTCGGAGGGTTGTCGTTTTCCCCCTCCGATGCCCGCAAGGCCCGTTTTATTTCCTCCTCCTGCGCGACGGCGACGACTCTGCAACAGGAACATTGTGATAGGGAAAAAGAAACACGGCGACCAACGACCAAAAGAGTCTTAGCAGCTATTATAGTTCGAAGTGATGTAGGTGCCAAGATGGTCTAGTTGCCTACTTGCTTGGTGACTACTACATGCTCACACTGCGCTGCTGACGCAGTTCCTGCTGCTACTTTTCAGGAAGCAGTCATGGTATCAGTTATTGATGCTCTAGAAAGAACAGAAGGGTGGGGGGTTCTCATAGTCGTGCGACCATTGACCTCGCCTCGGGGGGGGGGGGGGGGGGGGGGGGGCGCCCCCTTATGTTTTTGTCCCCTTTCGGGGTAAACCATTGCCCCCCCCCCCCCCGAAAGAGGAACCATTTTTCCCCCGGGAAAGGGGGGGGGGGGGGGGA